CTGAGGATTATCTTGAGGAATGAATAAGCTATAGTAGAGATTTCCTAAATTGAGATATCTGAACTGTCTCCAGGGTAATGGTGCAGTCACTGACACTAACGGGACATTTTCTGTATAGGATTCTTTTCTCTAATTTTTAAAAATTAGTGCATGTTTGCAGTACATAATACTTACATTTATAGTAGGAAGTTTGTACTTGTACATAAAGCTTAATTCTGTTTTTATCCCCTCTCCCTCCCATATCTCCTTGCTCCTTCTATCTCCTGGTTCCCTTTCCACTGGCAAAAGCTCTACTTCTGTTTCTTAGAATTTCAATTCTGTTTTCATTCCCTTTCCCATTGCTCCTTCTATTTCTGGTTCCCTTTCTCATTGGAAAAAGATTTCTCTACTTCATACCATTAATTTTTCATTTTGCTCTTTATTTATATTTTGTTTTCCTCATATAAGAGAAACAATGTGATATTTAAGCTTGCCTGTCTGATTTATTTTACTTAATTATAAGGTCTTGAAGTGCATCCATATTCCTACAAATGCCTTAAATTTATTCTTTGTTATAGCTGATGGTAGTCATTCCTTCTCAATGGTGGTTGTTCCTTTTGGAGTAAGATAGAAACTGACTTTGTTCTAATTTGCATTTCCTTAGTGGTCAGTGATGTGAAACTTTTTTCATGAATTTATTGCCCATTTGCACTTCTTCTATGAAATGTCTATTCGTTTCACCGTGCATTTTTTGATTGAGTCTATTATTTTGAGAGGTTTAATGTTTTGACTTCCTTTTATATTTTAGACGTTAGTTCTCTGAGGAATACATGCCAAAATTTTTGCTATTCTTTAGGTTGTCTCTCTGCTCTGTTGGTTGCTTCCTTTCCTGTGGAGAAGCTTTCTAATTTTATGTGTTACCATTTGTTGACTCTTGGTACTATTTCTTGTGACATTGGTGTTCTGTTCAGAAAGTCCTTGCCTATGGCCATTCTTCAAGAGTATTACACATTTCATTTTCCAGTAGGTGAAATATTTCCATTTTTAGTTCTTTGATTCATTTTTATTTTATTTTAGTACATGATGAGATATATGGGTCTAGACAGATTTCTAATTTTCCAAGCACCTTTTCTTAAAGAGGCTATCTTTCCTCCAGTGTATATTTTAGGCCCCTTTGTCAAAGGTGAAATACCTGAATGTGTCTGGGGTTGTTTCTGCATCTTCTGTTCTGTTCTACTGACCCACATGTCTATTTTCCTGCCCACTATCATGCTGTTTTAATCGCTGTATCTTTGTACTATACCTTCCAGTCTGGGATTGTGATGTCTCCTGCTTTCTTTTGTTATCCAGGATTACTTTTGCTATTCTAGGTCTCTTCTAATTCCATATGAATTTTAGGGTTTTATTTGTCTAGAACTCTGAAGAATGCTGTTGCTATTTTTATTGGGAATCTCTCTCTCTCTCTCTCTCTCTCTCTCTCTCTCTCTCTCTCTCTCCATATATATATATCTGTCTTGGGAGTATATCCATTTACATATTAGTTCTGTCTGTCCAGGAACATGGGTATATATTTTCTGAGGTTCTCTTCAATCTCCTTTTCCAGAGTCAAGTAATTTTCATTGTAGATGTCTTTCACTTCCTTGCTTAGGTTAATTCCTAAGGATTTAATATTTCTTGATGCTATTGTGGGTGATACTATTTTCCTAATTTCTTTCTCAGTGACTATGATTAATGGACAGGAATCTTATTAACTTTTTCTACTGATTTTGTATCTAGCTATGTCATTGAATGTAGTTATTAATTCTAGGAGACTTTCAGTGGAACTTTTAGTGTCTGTATGTAGAAGATTATATCTCCATTCTCTACATCTCCAGCACACAGATGAACATTGTGGATGCTCCCATCTACGATCCTATAAGTTTACCTGATAAATCCCCTTGTACAATCATACATATGCTTTCAGTTGATTCTGTCCCTAATTAGAGGACCCCAATTAATATACCTAGGCAGAGACACAACTGTTGGCTTTTCACTGTAAAAGGCAAAAGATTTATTTGATCTGAAGAGAAACCAGAGTATGTTGTTGGCTCAACATTGTGGGCTCCCTGTAGGGGTTAAGTGAGAATATCTTTCTTAGCTTCAGAATTAGATAACTGCTTACACATACAAAGAATATAATTTGATTTTTCAGAAAATAAAAACTCAGTGACCAAGCATTCAAGGATAGATCTATCAGTTTCCTAATGAGCCAAAAATCCAGCTCCTTCAATCTTTCTGTGACACCATATGCAATTCATTTCTTTTGACTCATAGTTACAAAACGTTTTCAGATCCTCTTGGTCATCAGTTAGGAGGAAAGGGAAAGAGTTGGCTTCCTCGAATTCCCAGCCAACTTCCAAACAAATTTCTTTGGCCAGAACAGTGTCATGTATTACCTCTCACTGGAAGGCAATACATGGAGTAGAATATTTTAGTAGCAAAATTTGAGTTCTGGCAAGGAAGAAAGAAGAAAATGGATTTTGATAGATAACCAGTAGTACTGACCATATAATAGACTGAGAAGTGGACATTGTGCTAGTTTTGATAAATTACATTGCCTCTATTTATTAGCTATTCCTTCATTGTGAATTATAGTATTTTCCATTGAATCTAATGAATGGTCTTAAAGTCCAATTCAATTTCAAGTTGGAGACAAAAGCCTCACATGACTTCCATTATACTCTGATTATTTTTCCCTAAACACTGAACTCTTCCCTTCTTTGTCTCTCAGTCCTATGCCATAATGCTCCAAACTTTCAGTCATAGTCCACTGTAATCCACAGCAACTGAATGGTTAAAACCAAGTTCCTAGAAAATAAACCTGTAGATGATTAGCTAAAAGAATCTGAAAAAGTAAGGCATTTCACTGCATGCCACATAATGTTTCTCCAGCTCCAGCCCCTGTAAAAATAAAATATCTTCAGTGGAAGCCAATTCATTACCCCATAAAATCACTACAGCACATGTGCTTGAAAATATAAGACAGATATTCTTAACTTGGCATGCCACAGTGAACCACAGAAATGTTTTCCAAGAAATGATTTCATTGTGTTGGTTTTATATTTAAAGTCGCATTTTTGGCAGGCAATCCCAAAGACAAGATTTTGAGAGCAAGCTAGTCTGTGGAACAGAACTCAGACTTTTGGTCACTGGCCTGAATTTGTTTGATTAGCTCACTTGGTCTATGTACCTGACACAGTGCCTTTGGAGGCTGGCTCCAAGCTCTCTCACTGATACCTCCTCTTGCATCTTTATCTATATCCTCCATACTCAGCATGGTTTATTACTTTAGCATACACGTGTGCAGTTACAAAACAGTCTAGATTTGAATCAATATGCTGACAATGCCGCTGTGACTTTGGGCATATTGCATAACCTCCTTTTGCCTCCGTTTATTCATCTATAGAATAAGCATCCCTATAATATCTACTTCTAAAGTTGTTATGAGGACTGAGTCAAAGCTCTTAGAATAGTTGCCAGCATGGAGTGTTATATAAGTAGCGGTTATTATTATTATCATCCAGCTGCATACCATGACATGACCTAAATTAGCCAGGAAAATGACTCCTTGAAGTAAGCCATCCAGAACCAACATAAAAGAACTCTGCAGAAATAGTTATGGAAGGGAACAGATAGATGTTTCCTAACATTCTACGAACACGAGGGACTCCGGAAGCTGAGTGATCATGAAAAGTTACCTAGTGTTCAAATTCACTACTTCCTCTGAATGCCTAGGGACTGCAAGAATTTAGAGAATAGAAGAGCCCACCATTTATCCTATACATTCCTTTCATTTTACAAAGGTAAACCACATACATGAATAATACAAAGGTCATGTGATTAATTAGCGAAGAGCTGATGCTATAACCTGGGTTCCCGAGCCCTAATTCAGTGATTTTTTTTCTTTATCAAGAGATAATCATTTTTTTTCATTCCTTCTCAGGTAAAATTGAGAAAAAAAGAAAAGAAACATTAATAGACTATGAATCTTGGAGATATCTGCTTACAAAGAGGCTCATTTCAACTTGGGAATATTTAATTAACACAACATCTTCAAACTACAAGTCTTTGGTTGGATCTCTATAATTGTTTATACCATTGCTTCTCTTCCTCCATTTCTTACAGTCAAATTTGAAACCTTTTAAAATTCTATGTCTGCACTTTGACATCTTCAAAATGGGCAAAACATGATGGAGTTGTCTGAGTCATTCTTCTTTTTTCATTTATTCAATAGCATCCCAACAATATTAACATGTGCTTTCCATGTGCACAGGGGATGCTTATGTGAAAAGACACCACGTTATCTCTCTTATGTTAGAAAGCTTACCCGATACCCAAGTCTTATAATTTCCACTCTAACCCAGAGCAAAAATGTTCATCACTGTCAGTGAGATTATAAACTAGTCAAAAGTTAAAGTATAAAGCGATGACCTTTTTAAAGTACTGAGTATTGAACTCAGGCTCGTTACAGTGATCTATGTCACCAGTACTTTTTTTAAAAATGCTATTTACTTTGAGGCTCTGTCTCACTAAGTCACTGAGTTCCCCAGGCTGGGCTTGAACCTTCCCAACCTCCTTCTTCAGCCTCCCGGAGCACTAGGACTACTGGTATACTACTGGTACGCACCATCAAGCCCTGGTGAGAAATGGATATCTTAAGGTAATTTAAATAAACTGCAAATATGGTGAGGTAAATAAAAGAGAGACTATCAGAATGGTGGAAATAACTGAGAAGAGCCTCCTGTGAAATACAATTTCACTGTTTCCTTTCCAGCCTTCTTGCCCCATACCCCAGCCCAATCACACCACTGTATGCAGTTCCCAGCACACTTCAGACAATTTCATCACACCTCAATGCTGTTCCTGTTCTCTATCTGTCACTCCCTTTGTTTTAAAAATATTTTTCGTTTTTCATCCTTCAAAGTCTAGCTCAAACCTTCCTAAAGCTGATACAATTACTATTGTTTTGGAACTCTCACCTCGTAACTGGGGCTTCTGCAGAACGGAAGATTCTCTAGGAAAGTTAAAGGGAAAACACGGGTAAGGATATGTTGGCAAAGTGATAGGATAAAGGGGAATGATGTGGTTCTCAAGCTCATTCACAAATTTAACAAGAAATGTTAAGTACTAACTATTCCATTTTTCTATGAATAGCTGCATCATTGAATAAGACAATAAGCATTACCTTGTGAACCCTTAATTATAGCAAGAAGACAAACTAATATATTTATAAATGATATATACCAAACATACCTCTCTATACTTACATAAAAACACACATACACTTGTACACATATATATACATACACACACACACATATATATACACATATTTATATCTCAATGTAAATACAACCTGAAGCACTCCATGTCACAAATTCTTTATCCTCTGATTCAACCAACCATCAATAAGAAATATTTTTTAAAATAACATTTGCTCTGGGCATCCATAGACTTTTTTCTTATTATTCCCTAAACAATCCAAACTATTTAGAGGATTTACATTGTATTAGGCATTACAAGTAATCTAGAGGTGATTTAAAGTGGCTAGGAGCATGTGCATACCTCACATGCAAATACTACACTGTTTTATAAAAATTTAAGCATATAAAGGTTTTGGTTTCTGTAGGATGGCCTGGAACCAAAGGGTGACTGTACACAATTTAAAGTTGTAATGATTGTAAAAGCTCACAAGGCTAATGAGGTTATGTTTGAGGAGGATCCAGATATTCCATCTTCCATTGACTAACAGGAGCAATACACAGTTTAGGGAAAGGACCTCAAATCAAATGGTGATCGTTCTTATTATAAATTAGGCCCATCCAGTTCTACCATGATTAGTTCAAGGATAATCACGTGACTAATTTGTAGTCAGTGAAATGTAAAACAAGTTTGCGCCAAGTGCCTTAGTAAGTTTTTCTCATTTTTAAGAAACAACCATGAGAACACAGTGGTTTTATGATGTCAAGGACACTTTCCCCCAGATTTTCTCTGGACCCATTTTCAACCATGAGGGGAAGCAGTCTTAAGAGGAAGATGATACTAGGAAAGCTAGATTTATAAAAAGAAAGAATCCATGGAGGTTCTAAGTCAATCATCTGCAACTCATTCAGTCCTAGAACTTCCTCTTGTGTTACCTAGCAAGTTTCCTATTGAAGAAGCAAATTTGAACCACATTTTCTTTCACTGTACCTGAAAGCAGATGATGTAAAAGGCAGGATGGTAGAATAAGAGTTCTTTAAAAAGACAGAACATGGACTGAATCTTAAAAGATGAGAAACACCCAACTGGCTCTTCCCAAACCCTCCAGATCTTTGGCCAGTTGGCTGTTTATTCCTTTTTATCTATTTTCCAACCACAGGAGAATTGTTCCTGTACCTCAAGATGCTGGTAGTTATTTCATTTCTCCTAAGTCTTCTTTCCTTCATGATTGAAAATGGATTCAGAGGAAATCTGCGGGGAAAGGATCCTTGACACTTTGAAACTACTGTGTTCTCAATGATGTTCCTTGCAAATGAGAAAACCTTATTAAAACACCTGCAGCAATAGAATGCAGTGAACACAGACTGAAAGATAGATAAGAGACAAAGTAAAGTATTAACCAAGATTTACATGGAATAAAAATACCTCTTCTCTGAAAGGTAGAGCAGGAATGGAATTTCTTGATACTTTGTGCTTTCTGAAGCTGTGAATCTTCATGGTATCCATAGTAACGAGTAACTAAAGTGTTATCCAGCACTTCAGCTTTGTTAGAGCTAAGTCCTGCATCATAAATCTGCATATTCTGAGTTACACAATTCTGGTGAAACACTGCAGAATGGATCTATATCCTTTCAAGTGATATCAGTGTCCACAGGCAAGAATATAGAGAGAAAGCTGTGATTTGAAGAATTTGAAAGATCAATGGAAAGCTAAAAGAGTCTGTATTCAGGCATCTGGGCTTAAAAGAAATTTGGCTTTAAGGTAGTTATTAAATATCCAGAAAGGAAGAAAGAATGAGAGTGTTAAACTGTCACTGCTTATCATCACAGTTTGTTTTACTAATACCTCTACAGCACTGACATATTATAGAGATAATTGCTCCCAGTTATTTATAAAAAATCTGTATTATAGTTGGTATTATTTGTACTCATTACATTTTATGCTTAATATTTTGCTTACATATGTATATGTGTCTTTCTCAATAGATTGTTCCTACAGGAGTGAGAAGTTTGAAAATCATTTCGTATTTACTCAACTCTAATCTCAGTGCCTATTTGATAAATTAATGGGTTCTTGATTGTCATTTTACACTGGCTGACACAGATGCTATGATTTCATTTCTCAGTGATTATATTGTGTTGAATGAATACCAGGTAAGTCATACCAACAGCTTTTGAGAAATTTTTAATAGAAAGGAAAGATTCTCTTTTGATTTATGAATAAATGTAGTTTTTTACCTATCTTAGAAGTTTGAATATTGTCTGAGATTCTGAATCCAAGAATTCTTTCATTTTTTTTCATGAAACAGCCGCTCTAAATTTCATAAATCTGTCTGAAAATGTGCCTCTTTCATAATATTAGTGACACATTAACTTCCTTAAAGAAGAAACTTCAGACTCCCAAAATGTGCTTCCAGTGGTCTTCCTTTGCATTCCAGAGTGACTAAATTTGTAAGATTCAGTCTGTGTGGTTCAAGTTTATTGTGGTAGATACAGAGGGTATGTTTGGGTGATTAATTATAAAAAAACAATTGCTGACATCTAATTCCCTCCACACCTACCAGCTCATGCCAGAAGTTAGTCAATAAAGTGATGTCTTTCATATGTTTTATAAGCATGTTGTTGATATTTTTGAAGCAGTATATACTGTGCCAAGAACATTCACACAAATTATTTTATTTCATCCTCAAAATTTCTCCTCAAATTCCAGTAGTTCTCCCATTCTTCTTCAATTTCATCTCCACGCTGAGCAGTGGAAGTTTAAACCAAAAATGGTGAATCTGAAGGACTTACAGGAATAAAACCTCACTTGTGCTCAGCACACTGCACCACTGAGTCTCTGAAGTCCATGGGACCAAGTGGGATATTGATTTACCATAGTCCTTTCAGCCTCCTACCTCGTGCCTGGCATGAATTATGTCCAGTGAAAGACCAATTGGATTAAAAAGAGATGAACTAACACTTAAAATTTTCAACAGTAAGTCTAGAGGCAAAAGGAAAAAAATGGTTTGTTTACTAGTGAAGTCAAAACTTTACTTTCTCAGACAATTTCTTTTCTTCAGCTTTTCTGCTTCATCAAAATTTTACTGAAAAATTATCAGCAGGATTGCAGGTGGAGCTCAGCTTTAGTGTGTTTACCTAGCATGCACAGGCTCCTGAATTCCATTTCTAAGCAAAACAAAGCAAAAAAGTTGAAATCAAGATATCTGCTGACTCTAATATTTTAGCTTACTTTTTGTTTTACCATGAATAGCTTTTTAAAATCCAAGTGGGATCCAGTACCATGTTTGTCTTGCTTTTAACTGGACATTTTAAATCTGACTCGTTTTCAATTTTGACAAAACATTCTTAGCACTGCTGAGTGGTCTCGGACGAATCGGTACTAGTACTCACAGTTCAATTCTGAGGCTGTCTACCCATCAAATCCAGAGTGAAAATGACTCCGTGTCTGTAAGAATGTCAGTGTCCAGTCTATCAGTATCTGGACAAGAAGCACCTTCAGCTCCTTTTGCCAGGTGCAAATGGGGTGAAAAATGAAAGATTCTGGTTCTACTTTGAATGTTCTCCATTTTCAGAGAAAAATAAGGAAAAAATCTTAAGGTTTTAGTTAGTTCCATAATAGGTATATCTCAGGCTACATGTTTTGTACCCAAATAATGCTTTGCTTTTACAATTTTACTATATCTTTAAAAATTCTTTTTAAATGAAACCTTAGTTTTTAATCACTGGTGGTTTTTTTGATATATAATGAGAAGAGTGAAAACATTTTTACCTGTTATAAGCAAATAAAGATATGAGAGCTGCTACCATTTTGCTGGTTTATCCTGTAGTTGCTGTCACACAAACAGGACGGAATTCACCACACGACATCTGTCACCACGCCATTGGCAACCAGCAGAGTCCATGTTTCAGATGAATGATTTGTACTTTGAGATCTTATGTTGATGGAATTGGGGGGATTCCTTCTGAAAACTCAGCTGACATTTCTGGAAAAATTATTTGTGATCTAAGTGATGAAATTGTCCTTTGCTTTGGTTAGGTTTTTCCTCACTTGAAAGATATCCTTTGGTTCCCAACGACAATAAAAACAGTCAACGCTAAAAAAGAAACAAAACAAAATAACAGTCAACACTGCTACACTCCAGGTGGGGGTCTGTCTCTGAAAGCACTCTACTGGCCAGGGGTTTAGCCTAAGAAGAGTTTTCCATATGAACCTCCAGTTAGAGTATATATTTCTTTCAACTTTCTTTAAAATATTATTAAATAAAGCAGCCTAAAGAAGTCTTTGCTGTTGGTTCAGGCTTTATGTCAGGCAAGCTGTAATCTCTGCATCTTCTAAAGCATCTTAGTGCCTCAGAAGACTGTTATTTGGTTGTCTTTCAGTTCCACAAGGTGGACAGTCATATGTCACAAAAGAACACAACCAGATAAAACTAGACAATGAAATTAAGGTTGTACCAACCCTTCCACCATAGAAACATGGCCTTGAAGGTCCAGCGGGAGCCATCTTGCCCAGTTTTTCAATATAATTATAATATCCAAGAAGACGTTTCCAAGACACAGAGTCAATTAGTGGGTGTGCTTTGTGGCTTCCAGGCTTGTGGTTCCTAAGTCTGGTCTCAGGCTTTCTCCCTCCCATTCCTGTTCCCTCCTGCCACAGACTGGCATGTCCCAAGCTCTACTGTGAGCTGACTCCTGCTGCTTCCCTCGAGGAAGGACCGGTGCAAGGCTTCAGGGCTGGAGGAAGAAAGAAGCCAACAGTGGTTTCATATCCATCAGTGATGATGCCATAATACTACATTTTCTGCCCATGAATATGATGAAGACAATCAACACTTAACCTTTACATCACAGATGGAAAAAAACTCAGTCCCCACATGTACTCAGGACACACAAATGAATCAGGCTGGACTCCGAGGAGAACACTCAGCCCATCTAAGGACAAGCTGCAACACGCCTCCAGGCAACCACTAACGTGTGGAAAAGTGGGTGTATGCTGCCCATTGCCCCAGATATTTTACTGAAATAAGACAACCAGAGCTGTTTCTGAAGTTTTCTTATTCCCATGTGAGAGTATGTCAATTTAAAAAAATAATAATTTATGGACCAAACACAACCTACTTTGGAAGAATCTGGCAATCAATGTATTATTCTGACTTTATTTTTTAATTTTAATTTTCATTAGTACATGTTTGCAGTACATAATGAGTTGGGGGAGTTGGTACGTGCACATAACACATCCTAATTCTTTGTTCATCCTTTTCTCCTCTCTTCCCTCTCCTTTTCCTCCATCTGACTTTAGAACAATAATTTACCTAGGGAGAAAAATTATATTTATATATTCACAATAAAGTGGAGGGTTGAAGCAGGGATCTGGGTGGGTTTTCTTCCCTACTTCTCTCCAAGTCTAGACTACTACTTCGTTATTTCGAACAACCATTTCTGTCTTGCTAACCCATCTGAGCAGAGTGGTTTAACTATTACATTTACCTTAATATGTCTGAATCCACACCAAATATGATCATACCCAGTGCATGGGTGTTAAAAGGGCAGCATTTCATAAGGATCAAGAAACTGAGTTGCTAACACAACAAGCAAATCCTGCTGTAAGTACATGGCATACCTTCGGTTATTATCTATAAATAAACCTTGGTAATGAGGTTTAGGGTTCTTCTCGGTTGCATGTGGATAATAAATTCTCCATGGAACTGACTCCAACCCATTAAAGCCAGCTTGCTCCTGCCACAGTAGCTGTTAATTTGACAAGACACTGTCACATTAAGTAGAACAAACATGTTTTCGCCCAGTCGGCCATCCTGAACCGATATGGCTGTTACTCTAACAACTGGATATTGATTGGAATCAGTCACCCCATCTGACCCTGCACTGGAAGGTGGAACCTGCTCTGGCTGACTGAGGATTTGCTCTCTAGCACACACGAAAAGCATGTTAAGGAGAGTCGCAAATTTTAAACCATTTAGCTTCTTGTCATGTTCATCCTTCAAACACTGTCTGGTTCTCCTTTTCATCAGTGGGACAATAGGCTCTGAATAAATCATTGTTTATTAATTTTATGGATCTGCACATCTCTCTGGAAGGGTTGCTGTTGATAGCATTTACATCTTCCTAAGTGCAAAACATAATAAAGCCCATAAAATGATTTTATAAGAAGTCCAAAACAGACTGAAAAATGTAAAATCCCTTGACTTCTAGAGGGGAGGGCAGAGACCAGCCACTCCTTTTAACCCAAGTAATGCAAAGATATTCACTCAGTTTTCAAATGACAAACTCATTTACCAGCTGTACTCTTTAAAGTCTACAAATAAAACTTACTAGAAACAGAACTGGCAATTAACCCATTAACTTGGAAGTATTTTTAACCTGCTTATTAATAAGTATAGTTGAGATTTAGCATAGTTTATTTTCCATCCAGTAATTGACTTCCCATCAATAAAATTTAACATGTGAAACTGCCAGGCTCTCATTTACCTGTGTTTCTGTTTGGTCTTAAATTAATTTGTGTCTCAATCAGTGCATTAAATGCCATGCTCATCACTGAATTTAAAGAACAAATAGTCAAATCATGCAATGGGGTTACTTGACTATTCTGGAACATTCCTGAGAAGTGGGTATCAAACATGGGCTTAAACACTTCCAGTGATCATGAACTCATTAAACTTATAACCACTCTGGGGAATTCTATTAACAAGTTACTCTTTTTTCTTGGCAAAATACACTGTCATGAAGCTTCTACTCATACATCATAAGTCCTCTGGGCATAAAGTGTAGGTAAATTCCTTTGCTGCATAGAAGTCATTCAAATATTTGAAAATAGTAATAGTATTCTCTTTCCTTCTTTTCCAAGCAACAAGACTCAGTTCTTTCTACTGTTTCTTCTATGCAACAGTCAGAAAACTGTGGGATGAGGGTCAAACCTAGCCTTTCACCAGTTTTTAGAAATAATTCTTTAATAGAATATGTCCACTTATTTATATATTTTCTATAGTTGTTCTCATGCCATAATGGCAGAATTGAGTAGCGGTAATGGAGATTTGTGGCCTGAAAAGCCAAAAATCTGCAGTTATCTGGTCCTTTATATTTAAGAGAACTGTCCTGCACCACAGTGTGTCAAGCTCCCCTTTCCTTCATTCTTTGTGCCTTTCAGTTTTCTACTATCTCCCTAAGAATGTAACCGCCCCCCAAACTTGAGAAGCTTCTGTCGCTTGTTCTGGATGCCTGTTTTATTAATGCAGACAGAAATCCATCATAAAGCACAAAAACATCCTCAGATAAACCACTGAGATTATCCTGGTTTATGCTAGAAAAATATCCTTTTGTGTTGTTGTTTTCTAAGTGTACAAGTATCCTCACTTTAATGTTGTGTTGTTTCTTTAAAGTGTACTTTTGAAGGCTAAGGATGTATGTAGCTCAGCAGTGGAGCACATGTGTACCATGCACAAGGCTCTGGCACCAAACACACAAGGAATAAAAACTAAAAATGAGTTCCCAGTGTTAGGTACCATTGCTCTAGATACTGTATGAAATGCTAAATAAAACAGAGTCCTTTCCCAAGAGAGTTTGCATCTGGATGGATAAAGCAAGTTCATGAAATAAATGAGTTCCTACGTTATTTCACTTTATTTTAAAATCATTTTTCACTAGATTATCAACCCCACAATGCCAGGTACTTTTGATGCTTTGTGCTGCTTTGGCTGCTCAATGCCTAGAATATCTCCTGACTCATACGCATTGCTCAGTAAATACTACTTGGATGAGCAAAAATAATCAGAAGAAAGGGACAAAGTATGATCAGGTATTAAACTAAAGTGCTAAAAAGACTGAACACTAGAAACCCTGGATATAGATAGACCAACATGGTCTGGAGATAGAGCTAGATGTGGGAGTGCAGTTTTCAAAAGCCATCGTCGCAGTACCCTTTTCTGGGTGACCGTCGTGGTCTGACTCCCCTGCCCGTGGCCTTGGTCATATGTGGACTGGGTTTCCCTGGCTTACACTTGATCCTCTGGCTTTGCTCGCAAGCATTTAGCTCTGCACTCACGACTGGACTCAAGCTTACCTTCTAATGCACTCCAATTCTCATGCCACAAGCCACTCCTTGCCTCCTTCACTTACAGATCCTAGGGTCTGGAGCAACTTTTTGGTTGGACATCTCGCCAATACTCCAGCCAGGCCCGACCTATCACCCTAGAGAAGACCCAGGCCTGGGGAGGGGGAAGACACCAAGATAAAACTGTGGCCACACATCGGTCTGATCTGACCTTACCATGTGGTTTCAGTCTCAGCTCTTTTGCTATGTAGATAGAGGATGAGGACAGCACATCATTAATATTTCATTGCGTTATCAGGGATGCATGTCAAGGAAGCTGCTTCATAAGACACGGGGTTATGTAGGTAAATCCCAGACAGCTTCAGCAGCAGCAGCTCCGGAGGTTAAAAGGGATGGTAGCACTGTCAGATCTTAAAAGCAAACTGCAAGTGCTGGGTCTGACCTCCTTTGTCTTTGCGAGTGTGACGCAGCTTCGCATCAAGCCTGGACAACAGTTGCTGCTTTGCGCAGAAGAGGCTGCCGCAGCTCTGCTGAGGGGGCAGGTGGATGGAAAGTAGCTGTGGCACTGCTGAGTTCAAATGGAATTAAGGATTCATGACAGCAGTGCAGGCCAGCAGACAGAGAGCCCCGGATGAATTCCCAATGAGGCACAAGGGAGGCCAGGCTGGGCTTTGAATCCCCAATAAGCAAGGAATTGCTTGGTGGTTATGCTGAACCATAAACATCATCGGCTTGGAAAACCAGGCTCCTTTCGTCACGTCAGGAACGAGAGAGGAAACTGCATGACCAAAAGCGTGTGTTATCCATAAGCATGATGTTTTATGTCAATAAAACAGTGACTCTAAAGCCATTCTTAAAAGAAAGAGCTTTGAAGAAATGAAGTTGTCTTCAGCTATTATTTTAGTTGTTTTTACCATAGCAAAAGTCATGGATAGAATTAGGACAAATTCCTTTTTTCTGGCCAGCTTAGCAGGTAGTAGAATTCAGGGTGCCTTCTCTGGGTCCTCTCTTGGGCTGGCTGTGGGATGGCCAATGTGGGAATATCCACCACCTGCCACAAAAGCCACAGCATGCACCAGGCTTGCCTGCCTTGCCTCTCTCCCCTCTTCCACTCTTGAATTTCATTGTTTCAGCCATGGACAGAGAGCAGAGAAATGGCAATTGCATCTTTGCCAGAATGTTCTTAAACACATTGCAGGGTGCACCCCAAATCCACGGATTCTAACTATTTGTCTGTGCTGTACTCATCCTGACAGCTGTGGCGGGATCTCTCCCTGCAGGCTTGGTATAGACCTTTCTCAACCTAGGCAGGTGTTTGGTGCAATATCTATTCGACTTACTCAATTTTGCAAGGCTGGATGGGTCATTTTCAACCCAAATACTTTATCAAAAGAGAGGAAGTTGAAATTGTACTTACAACAAAATACCACCCTATATTTGTCATATGCCCGCAATAAAGCCACTCACCTTAAATTGAGACTGTACATGTCAGTTCTTTGAACACTACATACGTTCATAAACCTGACACATTACTCTATTCTCACCATCACCACTTTCAAAATAATGTGTCAAACAAAGAGAGCGAACCATGACCTAATTTAAGGGAAATAAATTATGTATGTGGATCCTGGATCAACACAGCAACCCTGGACTTTAATGTTCAGCAAGCTGATTAAACCAAAGTAGGTCTGAGTCT